ATGGCTCCGTGTGACCTTTGGCTATTTCTCAAGCTGAAAATGTCGCTAAAAGGAACCCAAATTTAGTCGAGAGAAGACATCATGCGAAATGCGACGGACCGGCTAAAAACCATTCCAAAAGATGCGTTCCAGCAGTGTTTCCAGCAATGGCAGGAACGCTGGGAGAAGTATATACATTACCAAGGAGACTACTTTGAAGGGGATTAGGGTTTTGTACCTCAAAGTCAATAAATTTATTTTTGCCGACCAAAGGTCCGATACTTTTTGAACAGACCTTGTACTGTATATGAATTTCAAAATACTGTAAATAAATACTGTAATTAAAAATAAATTTTATCAAACGATGAGATCAGCCGATTAATGGTATCGTGTACAATATTTTACACCCCCAAGGAAAGTACTGTAGGTCTACTAACAAATTTCGTTTTTCCACAGTTAAACTTCCCCGCTAATTGCTGCTGTGATAACTTTAACACGATCTTCTAACGAGAGCACTTTGCATTTCTTTCGTTTTTCGGACAATTTCGAACAAACTGAAATGAATTTCCTTTATTGCTAGACTAATTCATTAACACCTGCACCTAATTTCAAGAGTGGGAGAAGGGGGAAATGTTGTTGAACAATAGTTTAGACCAGATATTCGCGGAAGTGGTCGCTTATTACAGTTGTTGTATGTTGTTTCGTACCAAAAATCGATGCCCGCGGTCGCGTTACACAGGTGGTCGTTTAATACAGGTAACTTATACGAAGACTCTATGGATAAACTATTCGGTGCCAGAAATTTTTGGCCGTTTTGACAGGTGCCCGTCGAATGCAGGTGGTCGCCTAGGCAGTTTTCACTGTATATATTATATAAACCCACACGGTGATTAAGTGTCGCCTCGAGTTTTTTGCTGTATCACGTGACTGGATGATGTCGAAACAAGGTCACGTGACAATATTTTGTTCTACTCCGCGATGTGAACAAGGTTAGGCAATGGCGGCTTCCGCTGGTAAGTAATCCGAGAAGTTTTCGTTTATAGCTCTTAGTATACGCGTCGCCTCGAAAATCACTCTGCTTAGAGCAGTGTTCCGCAACCTTTTTCTACTTGCGGCACACCCATGACTTCAACACGGCACACCAAAATGTTATTCCCCTCAAAAACGTATGATGTTATTCCCCTCAAAAACTATTAATAGAATTACGTAATGCCATTAACCTATTATTATTGTTATTAAACAGACATCAACACCTGTAAGCAAATTTTTTTTACATATAATTTCTTAGAATACATAAAAATGCGTGGCTTGTAATAAAGAATAAACAAACATCATCTTATTTCATGAGTACTGCAGCAGAGAATGAAATACAAGCATAAGAAACACAACAACTGTGATAAAAATATATAAATAAAATTTGAAATTAACAAAATATGTAAAAGTTCACGTCACACCTTTCACCATGTGACGGCACATCAGTGTACCGCGGCACACCGGTTGCGGAACACTGGCTTAGAGCATGTCTACAAAAGAAATGTCTTAATAGAGCAAAATTAGAAAAAAATTCCCCATGTATAAAGGATGGACTTTTACCTATGTGGATTTTCCCGGAGAATATTATTTCATTGTTTTCTTTCGTATAATATAAAATGATATAAAAAAATAGAATTTTAAATAATTTCTTTTTGGCAGAATGTCCGATTCCGAATTTGAATACTCTAATTTATCAGAAAGTGAATCTAATTTATCAGACAATGAATCTGAGGAGAGTGTCACAAGTACTAGCTATTTAGATGTTTTTTTAGATGCCAATTTTAACGGAAACATCGATTCTTCAAAAAAATGGTGCGAGATAAACACAGAAAATCCTCCTGCTGCTCCTCCGCGGTTTCCTTTTCTGGCAACTCCTGGGTGTTCCTTTACTCTAGATGAAATGTTCGATCCGTTAGAATATTTCAGATTATTTTTTGATATTAATTTAATTAACATTATTGTTAAAGAAACTAATCGTTACGCGATGCAACAGCCAAAATCATCCATAAGGCAGTGGGATCCAGTTACAACAGAAGACATTTATGTATTTCTCACAATTTGTATAATTCAGGGAATTATCCATAAACCGCATGAGAAAATGTACTGGACCAGGAATGAAATATTTCTCACGCCAATTTTTTGTAAATTGATGGCAAAAAACAGATTTTTTGAAATAAAGAAAAATTTACATTTTAGCAATAATGACAATTATGATCCGACAACCCATCCCTATCCGAAAATAAATAAAATTTGGCCAATAGTAACAAATTTAAATAAAAAATGTTCACATCTTTATGTACCAGAAAGAGATATATCAGTGGACGAGAGTCTCATGCTTTACAAGGGTCGTCTTTCGTGGAAACAGTACATTCCTCTGAAACGGTCTCGTTTCGGTGTGAAATTCTTTATGCTATGTGAATCTGCATCCGGCTACTTGTACAATTTTNACATCTTTATGTACCAGAAAGAGATATATCAGTGGACGAGAGTCTCATGCTTTACAAGGGTCGTCTTTCGTGGAAACAGTACATTCCTCTGAAACGGTCTCGTTTCGGTGTGAAATTCTTTATGCTATGTGAATCTGCATCCGGCTACTTGTACAATTTTATAATTTACACCGGAAGCGGATCTTGTTTAAATGAAAAATACCAAGAAATGCCACTAGCATCCCAAATCGTGTTATCGTTAGCGGACCCGTTGTTAGGCAAAGGCTACTGTCTAACAACGGATAATTATTATACTTCCCCACAGTTAGCGGATTATCTCATATCGTGCCAGACAGATTTGTGCGGAACAGTACGTACCAACAGAAGAGATGTTCCAGATATAATTCACAACAAAAAATTGGAAAAGGGAGAGATAGTGGCAATGCAGAGAAATAAAGTAATGATTTTAAAATGGCAGGATAAGAGAGCTGTTACTTTACTCTCTACATTCCACAATCCTGTAAAAGTAAACAAAGAAATGCGTGACGGTAGTGTACAATCGAAGCCACAGGTTGTGTTCGATTACAACCACACAATGGGAGGTGTAGACCGTTTAGACCAACATCTGCATGATTATTCGGTTATGAGAAAAAGGGGGAAGAAATGGTATAGAAAAATATTTTTTCATTTGATAGATATTTGTTTGTATAATGCATTTGTGTTGTATAAGAAAAATGGTGGCGAAAAGGATAATTTAGGTTTTAGAATGAAGCTTGTTGAACGGCTAATAGAGGAGTATCACACCGAAACGAGGGTAAAGAAACAAGGTCAGTCAAGAGAATCAAGTTTGCTTAGTAGACTTACAGAAAGACATTACCCGGACTTTATTCCGCCAACCGGGAAAAAAACTTCTCCTACCAGACGCTGTGCTGTATGTTGCAAAAGACGTAATGAGGAAAGGAAGAAAGTGAGGAAGGAAGTGAGGAAAGAAACCAGGTATTACTGCAAAGATTGTGGAGTTGCATTGTGTATAGTACCATGTTTCGAAATATACCATACTATAGAAAATTATTAACTTCAATTTCATTTATTACATTTTGTATTTATATCATGTATACTCTTACAACATTATATTTTATTTTTTATATTATGTAATTATATGTGCAAGTTTATAACATTATATTTTATTTCCATTTATTTAACTTGTAATCATGTGAAATCTATTTTTATAATATTAAATTTATTTTCATTTTTCTGTTTTGTCACGTTTAATATGTTTAATCCTGTTTCCAGTGGATCCAGAGTTTGACTTGGACGTAGTTTATTTACACCCTGTTGGACGTTGTTTATAACCTCAACAAATTTCGTAATTGTATACCGAATAGAAGTTTTTTCTGTACCTTTCTCTGATTTCACCTATACCAGTGTTTCTCAACGGGGGCGATATCGTCCCCATGTGGGCGTTTTTCCATGTTGAGGGGGCGATTAGTAACAATTTATATTTTGGGGGGCAAAAAACAATTTTCTGAGCGATATAGTAAAATATTATATTAAGAATAATAAGATATTTTATTCGTTATATCGTACGATAATTAAAGAAATAACATTATACTAGTCTCTAGTCTATTTAATGCAGTATGAATTTGGCGTTAGCCTTGGCCCTCGGCATCGGAATTTTGAAGTAAAGGGCGATACTACGTAACGGTTTTATTGAAGGGGCGATACTACGTTGAAGGGGGTGATACTACGTAACGGTTTTATTGAAGGGGCGATACTACGTTGAAGGGGGCGACGATTCGTTAGAGGTTAAGAAACACTGACCTATACAAATAGATAGTTCAAATGATCGAAAATAACGTGATATATTTGAGTATTTGCGATAATTAGAACACGTGGTAAGAAATCCGATTTCCCCTCAGACGCTCATGGAAACCCCGCGTTTCTTTATGCAGCGCTCGAGAAGCGCTTTACAGCAAACAGACTGAAACTGGTTTCTAATTGGCCAACACTGCTCGCGACGTCATTTCGCTACACTCTCACTGCATAAAGAAACGCGGGGAAACGATCCGGAAACATCAACCAACAGCCGCTCAAGGTCAACCATTTGTATACGCCGTTCTCTACCGCACGTATCTTGTTGCGGTTTGTGTTATGCAGGGCTGTGGAGTCGGAGTCGGAGTCGTCGAGTTTTGGTGTTATAGCCGGAGTTGGAGTCTTCAAAAAATCCGCCGACTCCGACTCCTTTTTACTTCCCAACTTGTTATGTACTATATGTTATCGCTAAAGCTCGAAAGTCGTTAATGTGTACATTACCTAGCTAATCTGCAGATTAACTAGCGTGATCCGTTAAAGCTGTGAAAATTGTTCCATTTCTCAAATTACCTAGGTAATGTGCAGAGTATCTAGGTAATCCGCATATTACCTACTAGGCACTCGGTAAAGTGAAAATAAGATCTTTGCCACAAATAAATGTGCTTGTCGCAAAAACCAATTGCTATGAAATTCAAAGTGACACCAATCTTTAGATTGCTCTAATAAGTAAGCACAATTGGATAATGTTACTTATGGTAAGTAAAATGGCGGCTCGTCTCTAATTCCAGCCAAGAGAAGAAAGGAAACATGGGGACGAACGTTCAAACTTAACCTAACCTATTCTAATAATTTGGTTGGTAATAATTATGCTAGTTTATTAGAATAGGTTATATTAGGACAGAACGTGCGTCCCCACTGTTTCCTTTCTTCTCTTTGCTGGAATCAGCGCCATTTTACTCACAATAGGTAACATTAACTGCACAATTATATCGTGCGATCACCAGAAAAAGTATGATAACTTTATTATTTTTCGTCTCCGGTCCAAAAGTAGGGTATCGTTGAAGCCGTCTCGGTCCCCTCAGTTCAGATAGACACTCAAAGTCCCGAAATTCCATAGGTGGTTATCTATATAATAATTTCCCTAATTGTATTAATATTTTAAATCGTTTGATTTTTTGTATGTTTTTNTCCATCCATTGCTCCAAGGCAATGCGGGAAATTCCATTTTTCTTCAAAAAGATTCGCTATATTCATCCATTCTCTTTCTGTTCGTGGAAACTAAAAAAGAAAAGAAAAATAATAAATAACTTAATTTTTTAAATTAATAGAATTAACATGAAATAATATGTTAAAGACAATTTCCTTTACTACACTAATAAAATTGTTATTTTAGGAATTCGCTACGCATAATACAACGCAGGAGAATCATAACAGCGAAGATATTATTACTCCATCAATAATCGCAACACAGGATAATAATTTAACAGAACTTTCGGAAACTTCAGTACAGACGCGACGCAGTTGTCCCTCTAAACAAAGTCGAGTGGATCAAGAATCGTTGACTAACGAAATTTTATTAACTGTGAAAGATCACTTCAAGAAACCACACGTTCAAAATGATCGTTTCGATATTTTTGGAAAAAATGTTGCAATGAAATTGCGTGGATTCCCAAAGCAACAAATGCTGATTGCCGAAAAGCTAATAAACGAAACTTTGTTTCAAGCGGAGATGGGAACTTTTAACTTTATTGCATAAATTAGTGTATGAACAGCAACATTTGCCACATCAATTTATTCCCTATCAACCACCAATTTCTACCGGTTTCGGTATTATTAGTCCCTCTTCTAGCACTGCCGTCAACTTTATCAGGAGCAAGAACAATATCAGAAAGGATAATTTTAATTAATAATCACCGTGTTAAAATGACATAGTTTTATTTGTTTTAAATTTTAATTGTCATTCTAACAAGGTGATTATTAAGATTATCCTTTCTGATATTGTAATTTGTATATGTTTATACAGTACTAGCAGACCCCGCCACGCCTTGTTGTGGCTCAAAATGTATCTATTATAAATGTATAACACTTCCCCCGTGGGGGAAAATTTTTCGAAAAATTTTTTCTTAGTGTACATTCTGTTGACGTACCCAATTAAAACGCAATCAAAAACGCAAAAACCCTCATCTAAAATACAGTAGTATAATAGAAGCCAAGTTTTTCAGAGTAAGCCTTAATCCTGTCTCTCCCCCGCGGGGGAATATCAAAAAATCCCTTCTTAGTGTACATTCTGTTGCTGCCTCTCATGTGGTGAAATTGCTGCTCGCATTACAGTATCTTGTTTTTTTATAATTGGTGTAACCAATGATAATAGATTTAAATACGTTTCTTCGTTCATTCTTAAATAGTTGTACCAATCTTCAGGTACTAACTTCAATTCTGAGATCAGGTTCACGTGGGAATACGATCCTCTTNGGAAAATAAAGTTTGAAGCTTTTTCTTCAAAATTTTTAAAAATATACGACCAGCTAGAACTCACCCTACTTTAAACTCTTCTCGTTCTGAGACGTTATGAGAATGTCCCGGGAAGTCAAACACCAGCTGTTCTCAATGTCATCCAGCTGTAAACACAATGACTGATCGGTGTCAAATTTCGTAGAAAGGCGAAACAATGGAAAATAAAGTTTGAAGCTTTTTCTTCAAAATTAACGCATTTCTTTCGATTTTTTCAGTTTTAAGTATTTTTTATGCTTAATTAAATTAAATTAATTAATTAGTGGGCGGCAAGGGATTAAAAAACTAATTTCGTTGTTTTTTTAAATTACCTTATTAAAAATGCCTTTTTTAATTGTATCGGGGTGATGGGTCACTTGGCTTTTATAAAAAGGGGGGCACTTGTGATGATTAGGGGGTACGGCTATTTGAGAGGTTTTCTTCTATAAAATTAATCAAATCTAGACTAATTTCACTCGAATGTTTCCAAAACACGTAGGCTATAATTTGTTGGAAATGTTCGATATAAAATATGCTATGAACAAAAAATTGTCGGAATACTTATCGAGTGTACTCGTTCGAAGACGCCATTGCTTAAGCTTGTTTTCGTCGCGGAGCGTCACATCGGACGGCGGACGCGTACGAAGCGTGTCACGTGACATCTGTCGGGGCTATTTCGGTCACGTGACTACTCATCTCCGGCGTGTTCCTGATAACTTATTCTTTTTGCGAAGAATTCGCTGAACTTTAGAGACATCACGTGATAGATCATAATGTACTATAGATTTTTATTGTAATTAGAAACGACTTATTATTATTATTATTTATCATACGAAGCAACAAAGGAAAAACCGCTCGCTAACGACAATAATTCTATCATGATATATATTATGATGATAATAAATATTAATCAAATGCAACATAAGATGTCTAATGTCTTGAAGTAAATAAATAAATATACAATTTTGTTTACGACATGAGAGATTAGGCCATTTAAAAGTAGAACAGAATTATTAGTTATTTATCGCATTATCATACGTTATTATATGTTGATTTTAATCCGTATTTAGAATGGAATGAAGTTTTAATATTTCTGTTAATGATGTCTCTAAAGTTCAGCGAATTCTTCGCAAAAAGAATAAGTTATCAGGAACACGTCGGAGATGAGTAGACACGTGACCGAAATAGCACCGACAGATGTCACGTGACACGCTTCGTACGCGTCCGCCGTCCGATGTGACGCTCCGCGACGAAAACAAGCTTAAACAATGGCGTCTTCGAACGGGTACACTCGATAAGTATTCCGACAATTTTTTATTCATAGCATATTTTATATCGATCAATTCCAACAAATTATACGTGTTTTGGAAATATTCGAGTGAAATTAGTCTAGATTTGATTAATTTTATGGAAGAAAACCTCTCAAATAGCCGTACCCCCTAATCAGCACAAGTGCCAAAAGGGGTCGCCACTCGAAAAAGATTGGGAACCGTTGTTCTAGGATCTTGGGTTGTTCCTAGTATTTTTCACTCTTTGTTCTTCTTTCGAGGGTATTGTAACGAGGCTATTTCAAAGTGTTCGTCTACAGTACAAACAGTTACAGTCGATATTTCTCCACTTCGTCGAAGATATACACAGTTACAGTAGCTAGTTTATAAATAATTTACTTCTGTATTCATCAAGTAAGTGAATAATAATTGTAATATATTTTTCCTGGAGAATATTAGATGAAAGTCCATCCTTTAACATGGTTTTTTAAATTTTGCTCTCTTAAGACACCTCTCTTGTACACGTGTCCTTAAACAGAGAGAAATTTTTCTGGTCGATGCGTATAATACGAGCTATAAGCAGTGGCGTAGCGTGGGTGTCAGCCGCTGGGGCAAAGGAAAATTTCGCCGTCCCCTTATTTAGGTATCTCAGTTTAAAAGACTAAAATTCTGTTTCATCACAGATTAAATAGTGAAAAATTCCGTGCTCGTTTCAATCGATCCGAATCGTAGGTGCGACGAAGATATGAAATGAAATGGTTCAAATTTTTACAAGATATTATTATTATTTATTGTGAAATTTTGCTGCCCCCTAAGATGTAATTTTGCCGCCCCCTAAAAAGTATTGCCCGGTGCGGGCCGCCCCACTACACTACGCTACTGGCTATAAGCGAAAACTCATCGGATTACTCACCGACTCTGCATGGAAGCCGCCATTACTTAACCTTGTTTACATCGCGGAGTAGCATGTTGGACGGCGGAGGTTTACAAATAGTGCCACGTGATCTCTTTTCGACGTCATCCGGCACGGAACTACAGCTCTGACGCGTTTCCGGTCAACTATATCTTGCAGGCATCACGTGATAGAGCAAAGAGGTCGTAGAGCAGTGGTGCCACGTCTACCGAATTGTCGGTAGATCTACCGATTTTGGGTCCGGTCTACCGATTTACAAAGTTATTTCTGCTGATCTGTTAGCGCCCTCTATTATGTAGTAGCATAATCACTGGTTACATTATAACAGATATCGCCAGAAGTTTTATTTCTTATCAGACTTTTCAATTAAATACGTAAATATCTGTAGCTTTTAACACCAAATAGTATACAAAAATTATTCCATATTGAAAGAAATCGGAAGTAACGTAGTTCGACAGAAAATTTACAACAGGGATGTATTAAAAGAACGAATAACATAAGCTTTCTAGAAATTTGGCTGGATTCTTAATGCTTAAATGTAACGAAAACGTTTGTTTGATAAAAGTTTTGTGCTGGAAATCTAAAAAGGTTTGGTTATTCATTTTTAGAAACGCGAGCCTAAAAACAACTCGTTAAACTTGGAAATTTCTTCCTACTTCTTCGAGTCGAATAAAGTCGGAATGAAAAACTGATTGTCGCTTAGCACGTTCAAAGTCCTAAAAAAACAGTAGAATCTTATAATTTACTCGAACGCGAGTGTAGCAGCTTTAAATCTTTCTAGAAAATTACTCTTTTAAAAAGAGATTTTGTAATCTGTTTTGTTATTAATTTTTCTTTTGACCCTTGAAAAAGGCCAATGGCCATAGGGTCGTATGATTAAAAAAAAATAAATAAATAAAAGAGAATCCGTTTCTGCATAAAATTTAATACTTAACGTTTATAATTTTAAAAGAAATGCTTTTTAGAAAATAGAAATTTAGCTATTAGCAGAAATAAATTCGAAAATATATATTGACCCTCTATATATATTGTAAAATTTATTATATAGTATAACATTTTTTATTTAATTATTAATTAATTAATTAATTTAATTTATTGGAAATTACTCTTTTAAAAAAGAGATTTTATAGAAAAGAAAATGTTATTAAACTTTTAATATTAGCCTACTATTAACGTTCTATTATTATATTATTAATATTTAATTTGATTTTTACATAAACATTTGCATTTACAAGCACCATGATGCAAGTCCAAGACTCTGCATTTCGAAAACTGCACAGATGCATCATTTTCTTTTACTGTTAGACTCAGAAAATAACAAAAAGTTACACATTTCCAAGAATTGCTCTTAAGCAAAACTGCAAAACGTAGAGAATACATTGACAGAAAAATAGCTTTTTTAAAATAACGTTATAAAACTTGTAGACCTTTCAAAATGTAATTGGTGTGTACTTGTAACTAACCCTTTGTACAGTACTTACGCCGTCTAAACTTCGCCTCGTTTATTTCGACAGACCTTCTTTAGGGTGCGTTTCTAAAAACCCTGGCCGCAGAGCCGGCCCTACCATAGGGCAAACGGAGCAGCCGCTCCAGGCGCTAAGTCCTATGGGGCACCTCAGTGGTAAAGAAAATTAAAGGAAAAAAATTTTTTTTTTCATTTTTTGGTATTTTAATTGCAAGCGTGTGGCCAGTATGTGAATGGCCTTATCTGTTGAGACGCGCATGGGTTGAGTGCGTGGGCGGGATTCCACCCCAGGGCGTCATAATAGGATCTCGCTCCATCCTAAAACTTGCGTTGGGCCGGCACTGCCTGGCCGTAATTACTTTTAATGACGTAACCATGATATTTTACACCTGAGCAGAGCGTGAAACGAACCTAAAGCGAGTTGAGCAGTATTCAACTTATTTTCATATATAAATTTTTAATTTGCAGATCTGTTTTCCTGTAAAAGACACAAATATTGTAAAATAAGTTATAGTTATTGTGAACAAATCAACTTACGATTGACAATGTTAAAATTAAGGCATCCCCATGTATAAATGAAAAAAAAGTGATGACTTCCTGAATATCGTGTGATTCCTCTACGACTGGTATAATAAATCTAGTTTAGAACACGGATAACAATATGCCAAGAATAAAACTATTTAGTTACTAAACAATACATCTTTATATTTCACCTAAAAAACCTAAAAGTATTAGGAATAAAAAATATAACCATGGACTAGCCCTATGAATATTGTAATTAATATCTTAGTTTGGTAAGGTAAAGCTTCACTCAGGGAACAATGCATAACGAAATTTCATATCGGCAACCGAAAAATTTACAATTTTGGCTAGGAAAAAGTCGCAGGAAAAAAACTCACATTTTTATTTAAATATCGCAAACAAGTAAAATAATTAAAAACTATTCTCAAACATGTATTAAATGGTAGACAATACACGACTTACATGTAAGAAGTTATATGTTGCTGTGTTTGTTATAATCCTACCGCCAAGCCAAGAAAGTGAAATCAACCCGATACTTTTCCTATTAGTTCAAAATCCGTATATGATACTTTTTTATTTCAAAGGATGACAATGACGAAGAGAAATGACTTGTCACCACATAATTATTTCTAACAAAGTGACTTAAAAAACGTTATTTTTTAAAGTTTAGTTGTTTAAAATGTGCAATATATGTATAGACTAAATACAATACAGTAGACTAAGAAGAAAATGAACAGCTACAAAATAAAAGCGGTTTAAGTTTTATTTACGTTTTCCTGTTAATTCGATTCTTCTAAGAGGTTAAAATTCCGTTCGCGGCCTTGCCTAAATGCATTCCTAAGCTTGTAAATGTTCTTAAACAGTATACCACATACAGTATTTCATGTATTCATGTATTTTACATGTATTTCATATCATCGTTATTTATTATATACGATGCTTAGTATGGCATTGCACTACAGAGTACAATGAGATTAAGATAGGGTCTCTCTGTACTCTGTAGTGCCATTTGGCGGAGCAGAGTCAATACTTAAGAGTTTTGTAATATATTGTGACACACAAAATCTGCCATTGTTATCTTTAAGAAATTTCGTATGGGTAGGTCCCTTCTGCACTATGAGCTCTATTAACCGATTGTTAATAATTGGTGGCTAGTTAAAAGGATTCCCTGTATGTACAGTACATCACATTCGGTCGTCAATTCAACAGAATTATTATTTTCTAAGTTATCCTCGCCACAGCTCGATTCAAACACTGATGTTTCTTGACACAATTTTAAACGAATTTTAGACTTGTCATTTGATTTTTTACCTTCCATTTCGTCATTACTATCTGAAATGAATTCTTAAGTGGCTGTTGATGCTGTCCGATCAGCGTCGTTTAACTTTACGAATATCAGCATGGATCCTTGTAGTTTTCTATGTTCCTTATGTTCATTCTTCCGCTTGCGATAAAATGCACCAGAATGACGTTTTGTTTTCCTATCTGACATACCTGAACGTATCTATAATAGTAATAATTCTTTGATTACATAAACTATATGTATATATTTTCGAATATGTAAGGGACTGTATTTTTCTTGAAATCTTTCTCCATTGTTCCAGTTTCCGTAACCCCCTCTCCTCTTCGGACATCCAACAAAACCTTCCTCAAAACCTTTATCACTTTATGAATAACTAGCAGACCCTGCCACGCGTTGTTGTGGCTCAAAGTGTATCTCTTATAAATGTATAACACTTCCCCTGCGGGGAAAATTTCGAAAAATCCCTTCTTAGTGTACATTCTCTTGAAGTACCCTATTAAAAGGCAATCAAAAACGCAAAAAGCCGTATATAAAATAGTATAAATAGAAGCAGAGTTCTTCGCGGTAAGCCTTAATCCTGTCCATCTCCACCCCAGTGGGGGGGAATTTCGACACGTATATTATATAAAAATACGTGCGTATTCGAATGCAACGGTGTGTCAAAATTTCAAAGGAATCGGTAGGAACAAACGAACGTTACATTTTTATTTATATACAGTAGATAGATAGAAGATGATCTGCTTTAGTTCATCCTCACAGAAAAGCAAACTTAGGTAGCCGTACACGCGGAGTTAGCGCCATCTGTTGAACATAAAAGCCTTAATCCTAGATGATATCTTTTAATTTATATGAATGTTTACGGAGTAATATACAGCCTACGTCCACCCTGAAGTTCCATTCTAAATATTGGTGAAAGAACTTTTGAAATCGGATGAGTAGTTTTGGAGATTACCCCCTACATCCAAAATTACAAACTTTACCTCTTTATAATATTAGTATAGATAAAATGCATAAACTGTATAGAATTTAATGAAATAAAACGGACGTCCATTGAAGTTCCACTCCTCCCTTCCTCCCAGTGTGGACATCATTTATGGATAACCTAAAGTGACCAGATTTTAACATTGGTAAAGAGAGACAAAATTCACGGGGAGGGGAGGGGGAGGGTTGTCTTTTTTAAAAAAATTGTTCTAAAGCAACAAAATTTTATC